TCCCCCCCCCCCCCCATAAGTGCAGAACTTTCCATTTGTCCTTGTTGAACCTCATGAGATTCCTTTTGGCTCAATCCTCCAATTTGTCTAGGTCACTCTGAATTCTATCTCTACCCGCCAGTATATCTACTACTCCTCTCAGCTTGGTGTCATCTGTAAACTTGCTAAGGATGCACTCTATGCCATCTTCCAGGTCACTGATGAAGACAGAACAAAACCAGACCCAGGAATGACTCCTGGGACACTCCACTTGATACTGGCTGCTAACTAGACATCAAGCCACTGATTACTGCTCTCTGAGCCTGATGCTCCAGCCAGTTTTCTATCTACCTTACAGTCTATTCACCCAGCCCATACTTTCTTAGCTTGCCTGTGAGAATGTTGTGGGAGACCATATCAAAAGCCTTGCTGAAATCAAGGTATATCACATCCACTGGTGTCCCCACATCCACAAAGCCAGTCATGTTATCATAGAAGGCAATCAGGCTGGTCAGGCATGATTTGCCCCTGGTAAATCCATGCTGACTGTTCCTAATCACCACCTTCTCCTCCAGGTACTTAGAAATGGATTCCTTGAGGAGCTGCTCCATGATATTTCCAGGTACTGAGGTGAGGATGACTGGTCTGTAGCTCCCTAGATCCTTCTTTTTCCCTTTCTTAAATATGGGAACTATGTTTGCCCTTTTCCAGTCATCCGGGACCAATCCTAATTACTACGAGATTTCAAAGATGATGCTAATGGCTCTGCAATCACATTAGGCAACTCCTTCAGCACCCTCAGGTGTATCCCATCCAGCCCCACGGACCTGTACACATCCAGCTTTTCAAAGCAGTCCCTAACCTGTTCTTTCAGCGCTTAGAGCTGTGCCCCTCCTCCCCAAACTGTGCAGCCCAGTGGAGTGGTCTGGGAGCTGACCTTGCCCGTGAAGACTGAGGCAAAAAAGGCACTGAGTACTTCAACCATTTCTGCATCCTCTGTCACAAGGTTGCCTCCCCCATTCAGTAAGGGACCCACACTTTTCCTGATTTTCCTCTTGCTACTGACATACTTGTAGAAACCCTTCTTGTTACCCTTCACATCCCTTGCTAGCTTTAGTTTACTGAAGAGTTCCCTGCTAAGCCAAGCTGGTCTTCTGCCATGCTTGCTAGTCTTCCTGCACATCAGGATGGTTTGTTTCTGCACTCTCAGTAAGGCTTCTTTAAAGTACAGCCAGCTTTTCCAAACTCCTCTACCCCCCAGTCTGGTTTCCCAGGGGATCCTGCTCATCAGTTCCCTGAGTGAGTTGAAGTCTGCTTTTCTGAAGTCCAGGGTCCTTACTCTGCTGTTTTCCACCCTTACTTTCTTCAGGATCCTGAACTGAATTATCTTGTAGTCACTGCTGCCCAAGTTGCCATCCACTACTACATTCCCCACCAATTCTTCCCTGCTTGTGAGCAGCAGTCAAGAAGAACATGGACCCTAGTTGGCCACTCCAACACTTGCACCAGAAAGTTGTCCCCAGTGCTCTCCAAAAATTTCCTGGATTGCCTGCACACTGCTGTATTACCCTCCCAACAGATGTCAGGGTGATTGAAGTCCCCCATGAGAACCAGGGTCTGTGACTGAAAACTTCCACTAGCTGTTTGAAGAAAGCCTCATTCACCACTTCTTCCTGGTCTGGTGGTCTATAGTAGATTCCCACCACAACATCACCCCGGTTGCTCTCCCCTCTGACTCTAACCCAGAGACTCTCAACAGGCCTATGTCTAGCTTCATCCTGGAGCTCTGAGCAATCATATGGTTCTTTTATATAAAGTG